AAAGGCGACGATGTACATAGCGACTACCATTACGGCGGCTTACCCGGCTGCCCCGCAGGACCTGCCGCCACTCGGCCTATAGGGCTGACAGATGCGTGTATGAATAATAATAATAAAATAATAATAATAATAATCTTGTCCGTCGCCGGCCAACAGAGTAGGCACAGCAGCGGAGATTGGAATCTCCCTTTTACATCTGCAGAACGTGCCCTCCATTTTTTGAGACGCTGAAAGCTCCAAGCCATCCCACGGGGAAGGACAGAGATCATAGTAATATCCCATACCTACCTGCAATGCGTCTGAGGTCTTACTTCCTGCCAAACAGGAGGTACTTGTTCTGTCTTGAATAATATCCGTAAACTTTCCCGCAAACGCTTCCGCATTGTGTTTTGTAGGTCTTTGTCCGTTTTCGCTCAAAAACCCAATTGCGGAAAGAATTTCATGAATGCTGGGTTACTCTTTGGGTGACGGTTTCGAGCACTGTGCGCGCCATCCCTGCCCTGTACTGCTCCACGTATACAACGTACGGAGACCGTCGATGAGCCAGGATCGCTGTTGCTCCAGTAGCTCCACGTATCTGAGTTATTCATCGGTCAATAAAAAAATACCAATAGACTGACGTAAATGGCATACCCGCTAGGATGTGCCCTGGGATACGTTTTTCTTCTGGTGAAGGTACATGGCTCTCTGGGAGACGCAACCCTTGCGGGGATGCACCCCGCTGCACTGTTTGGGTTGATCAAGTAGTTAGCTCCGCGCAGGCTTGAAATTTGAATTGAATTTACCTTGGCCTTTTTTATTTTGCAGCTGTTGCAGGCGTGGGCTACTCGTGGAAAAGAGGTATTGTGATTACCTTTCGTGTGCTTTGCGGATGCCTTTCCCATTCTGTTATTCTGATGATGTGAACCACATGCGAGATATAACGAATCCCATGATGTTTGTCATTTAGATATTTATGGAATTTCCACAATGTGCAATATATAGTGGCGAACAATTGGTCTGCGTCCAATGACTGTAAGCAGAATGCTCTTCGCCATCGGAGGTAGTCTGAGGATGTCTCCGAAAGGTGAGGCCAAACTCTGTCTCTACGGAGTCAAGGCCTGCCGTAGTTATTTGAAAAGTAGCCACTTGATCGTGCAATGAGCCTACCGCGCAGGTCTCTACTTTGTTCAATAGCTAGTAGGAGATTGTTGGTAAGGGGGACGTCTCCGCAAATCCAAGGGATATTCGTCAACCACAAAGGCATTTTGGTACAACGTTTGCAATAAAACTATCTGAGTAGCTTCTGCATTAGAAATGCTCGTCAGCCTTTTAGGGACGCACAGAATAATGCCCATTACTTATTATTTGACATTGGTAGTTCACTCCATCTACGTCCTCTGGGGATGACTCCATTAGGACGCCTGCGAGTAAAAGCGGAGAGTAATGTCTAAATCATGGAATGCATATAGTACGTGTTTAAACCCTGCAGAGTGTAGAATGAAAGAAGAACTGGAAATTTAATAGAAACTCAGCGGAACAAGTCACTGGAACGGAGCACAATCTAAACGTTTTTACCCAAATGACGCAGACACTGGCATGTGCGTGCCAGCAGAGAAGCTCCCAGACTAGCAATGCGCTTGCTACAAGAATTATGGTAAGTGAGATGGGGACTGATGGCCAAGATACACCGGATTACCCGTCGTTTTCCGCGTTTAATATATCATTCCAAAAGTCCTGCAGGACGATAGATTAGACCTTGCCTGTCTGAATATCTAGAATTCCTGGATCACTTACCCAGTCAATTGACTCTGGATTCAACCACTGCACCCCATCAATCCAGTCGTCAAAGGTCGTTCCAAAGTCGTAGTCCAGGGGGTTGGGGCATTGGTATGGGTCGGTGGACAGCAGTGTTCTATGCAACCATGGTCAGCGCTCGGCCCTTCAAGCAGTCATCCCCATGGAATGGGACACACTCACTGTAGATGATGCAGGATCGGGCCAGCCTTTGCACAGATCTTACTGTGGGCCTGCAGTTGATCGAAGCGTGCCACTGCCGCGTTGAAGGCGGTGCGGTAGGCCATGTCGAAGGTATTCGGGTCATCGAGCAGGCAGGAGGCAAGGGCCAGCGCACCGTGAATGGCATAAAAGCTCGTCATCCCATATACCAGCCAGTGGTAGTGGCGTAGGCGTGGAAGGTCACAGAACTCGCGATGGATTTCCAGCAAGGAAGCCCCAGAGGCAACGCATTTCTGTCGTGAGGTGGCTCGGAATGGCGCGCTGCGAGATTTGCAGAAGGGTCGATGCAAAAGTAGATAGAGCTGATGCGCATACAGTTGCAGAATGCACCAGTGCGCATAGCTCGAGGTATCTAAAACACTTGGTCGTCCGTCCAACAGAAATACCGTGTCCCACTGCTCCTGCTCATGGGCTACGGCCTCATTTAACAACGCCAACGTGTTCCCGGCATATTTCAACGGACTCGAGAGATGCCGACAGATCTTGCTCGACAGCTGAAAAAGCTGGATTTTGAATCGCATGACGGACATTTGAGAAGGCTGACTGGAGGGGAGGCAGACAGCATCTTCGCAAATGTCGTCATCATTGACATCTGCCGGCATGGTGACTTGCACACTGAGGAAGGTTGAGATGTCCACATCTCGAAAGGAGATGGCCTGGTAGGTATGGAGCATCAGGATGCCAGCCCAACAGCGACGTCGGCGCTGAATCTCGATGCAATTCAGCAAGGGAGCCTCGTGATCGACATTACATTGCAGTGCAATGGCCATGTTCAGGGCCAGACCGAGAAGGGTCCAGGCCTGTTCGACGCCCTCGTTGTTACTAATCGTGTAGATAAGGATTAGAAGTCCCTCGAGGGTCGACATGTTGTGCCGAATCAGGAACTGGTCGTGTGACAGGCAGACCATGGCAGCAGCGCGGAACTGGTAGGAGATGCTTGAGATATCTTGCGCATCTAACTTCAACGGCCAAAGGTCAGCCAGCAGTATATCGTCCATTCCCATAGTATTGAGAGTCGCTGAGCAGATCAACAGTAACAACGCTAGCCAGGAGAGATCCACGTTCGAGCGATCCTGGCGGAAGGCATTGTACTGTTTTTGAAAGGTTGGCCCATGGAGGATGTGAAACAATGCGGACAGGCGCGTAAAATATTGGGTGACGAGGTAATCACAGCAGTGATCGGATGGAACCATGGCCACGAGCTCGTCCTTCGACACGCTCGGGCCTAGAGGGAAGGGAAAATATGGATTCTCTAGCCAACCGCCCGTCCCCTTTTCTTTCGGAGTTGGATGATCCATCTGGTCAATGGGTCGCTGCAGGAGAGCATCCCAATGGGCATTGGTGTACTGACGGCGGCGCTGCTGCTCATCAGGGATGGTTGGAATTATCTCTGAGAAGAACGGACTTATGCTGGGGAGCCGCTCGATCTGAACATGCGACTGGGAATGTGAGGAGGTCCCGATTGAGGCTGTTATTGGGGGCAAAGACAGGGGACTAGGAAGCTGTGGAGATGCTGGACCAACCCCCCCAGTTGTGTGATAATCTGGGCCACGATTCTGGGGAGAAACATGCTGCTTCTGAATGTGGTTCTTGCTCTGCTTGCCGGCGGCCGTATAGTCACAGGACACCTCACAGCTGCGGCGTTTACACGAGGAACAGGGCTGCCGGCGGTCACACTTGAGCTTGGAGTGACGGCAGGGATCGCAGCTTATTGGTTTTCTCCATCGACGTTTGGTTGGCCCCGTCTTCCCGAGAGGTGGTCTGGGGTTTGGAGTCAATCCTTCACTAGCACCAGTAGTAACCATCTGTTCCTCGTTGTTGTCTCCGAATGACCCTTCAGCCACCATAGTAGCATCAACACTGACGGCAGCAAAACGTACTCATAACTAACGTCAATCTAGTCAGTAGTGTGATTCAAGTAAAGAAGAGTCGGGTGGGGGCATATTTCTTACCCAAGCTTCTTCATCGTTACAATGCATTCGCCATTCTTATTCCGTGTATGGAATCATTTTACAATCTCCGTGCCGAAATCCGTGTATTTCGGAGATCGGAGATACCAACGGGGCCCGGGCCAGTCAATGCACTGCGAAAAGAAACTTTTCAAGTGAGCGCCCCGGGCTTTTCCTTTTTCTTTCAAAAGAGCAGTTACTGAATAATTATTCGGTGTAGGTGGTAGTAGTAGTAGTAGTAGTAGTAGTAGTCCTCATTAACCTGTCCTAGCTAGCTTTTAGATACATGCAGCCATGCAGGGTTGAGCCGTGAGCTCAGCTCGCGGCCATGAAACGCTGGGGTCAACACAGGCGGTGGGTCACGGTAGTATTGCCGTGAGAAGAATGTGAAAGCAACAAACAATACTTCAAAATGGACGTCCTCCTTGCGTTCATCCGCTCCCTTCTTCCTCCATGCAGTTTCTCCCCCGAATCACGGCATGTTGCGCATGTTTTAAACGCCGGAACTACTGCCGCGGCGCCGATATTACCTTGGTAACCGCTGCCGTCAGTGTAAACCACCAATGGTGCCTGTTGTTGTTGTTGTTGTTGTTGTTGTTGTTGTTGTTGTGTGATTTTATCGTGTACTTCTCTAGCTCTTTCCCGCTCATGGATGACCACTTCTGAAGGCGCTTGCCATGGTGCCCGGATAAATGCACACCGGCTCTCCCATGCTCCGGCCAAAGATTCTGGGGGAGCTAGTGGGCATCCATCCCTCTTCCTGGCTTGCACCTCCAAGAGGGTCCACCCCCCTAACGGTGCGTTCATCTTCCCGTCGGCTGTTGAGGATGCCGTCCAGCCCGTGGGCTGGTCCGATGCGGATTCTAACTGCGGTCTCTCTGACCATTCGTTCCATCTGCACCTTCATTGGTGGCAGATAGAGCTCCACATTCAATGCCGCCATTGCGGTTGTCCGGAACGCTCCCCCCATTATTACTGCCGCCCTCTTCTGTACCGAGGCGAATTGGCGGACAATATTGTTGCTTTCCTTGGCTGACATAATCCCAGGTTGGAACCACGCTGTCACTCCATAGAGCATCTGCGGTATAACTACAGCTTGATAGACTTTTCTCATCGCCAAAAGCGAATGTGCCCCACGTTGAGCCGGACAAACCTCGTAATGCCGCGAGGCTTTTCCCAGCCTTGGCCACCATCTTTTCCCGGTGCTCACTAAAGGTTAGCGTTGGGTCGAGTATTCAGTGTAGGTCTATGGCTGCAGCATGACTTTTCCGGGGCACATAAACCCTAATCCTACAAAGCCTTTACCCCAGCGGACAATTGCCACTCGGTACTTGTTGCTACATCGGAAACCAACCAACACTCACAATGACATGTATTCCTTCGTAAAGGAGATGGGGAGCAAGGTCTTTGCATCTCCCTAGAATAGTCTCTTCCGACAAGAGCTGGTGTCGAGAGTGAATCAAGGTGCCAGGCAATTTGATATTTTCAGTCAGCTCTATGCGTAGTGCACCCGGTAGTCACGATAGCGAGACCAATGTCGTTGCTTTCTGATAAAGTAGACAAATAGGTAACATACCACCTCCAATGAAAACTAACCCCTCGTCTTTTTCTCTCGTTATCGGCTGCAATGGCGGTCAGTGTCCCGGGTGTAGGAGGTAAAAGTAATTGCACGCGGAGCGATCAGCCAAACGCGTCACCGTCCGGTAGCTACGAGCAGATAGTCAAAGGGCAGGCACTGTATTTTATCTTTGGGATCTTGCTACAAAACTCTTCGAGTCGCAGCCTCGATGTCAGTGGTTTTTCTCTGAGTAGCTGCAGTTCAAAGACCGGAGGGGACAGAATCGGGGAGGTACGATTGGTTTGCACAACATAGTCCCTTTCATCAATAACTGACAGCCTCATATTATATAATTGTGTTGCATCCTCCAGGCGGGAGAAGTTGCCATATGATGCATAGGGCAATGGGTGACCATCTTTCAGAGCCAGCGAGGTCATCATTGCTGCCATGTTGCCATACGACTCATCCACAAAGACAACGTGATGGTAAGGGGTATTTTACGAAGGCTGAACTGCGGAGACCTCTTGCGAGGCCTGCCTGAACTTGAACAGCATCTTCCCATTACTGCGCCATGATTATGGATGACTCGCGTGTCCTCGGGATATCCTTGAAGTCGGAGAGCGAGTGTACGCAGCATGATATATACTACATACGATACAATATTTATAAATATCGAGAATTGGTCTTTAGCGTCAGCTAACGTGTCTTTGTCTATCACCGTTGATAGTGCCTGAACCAGTAAGAAAACCATCAGCACGCGGAGTTCACCGGGAGGCCGGGGTTGTCTCCGGGTGTCTTTCTTACTCTTCTGGGCAAAACCTGCTCAACTGGCAATAATATTATATTATTTCCAATTAATACCCAGTTGCAAATAGAATACACGCAGGGTTTTTTTTTTTTTTTTTTTTTTTTTTCACACAGTATGGGCTTGCCCCTGTACTAAGTTTTCCCTTGTAGGTTTAGATAGAGAGCAGCACCCCATACTTTCGCTGACGGAGCGTATAAATTTATTATTATGATTATTTATTAATCCCCAGTTGCTGTTATTGCATTGGAGAGACAAAGTAGGGGGTTATTATCAGAGACAACTTCGGAGTTGTCTATAAGCCTTTCGTAAAATGAATTTATAACATCTCCGTTGGCCATTCATCTCATTGGCACTATGCCAGCTTTTTCTCGATATTCCGAATTTCCGTGCTCTGATGAACCCATTCTTTTTGTCGTGTATCAGTCTCTTTGCTCCCTAGTTCGATGTTTGGCTTCCGATAGCTTCCTCCGATACGGTCCCAAATAGTTGTGAATTGACCATAATTGTAGTTGAAGTATAGATGGTGCATTGTATGGCATGCAGAACCATTTATCACTGGATCATGCGAAAGGAAATACCCATCATGGATTCCAACGGTCCAGAAATTGACAAACCCAAACAATCCAAGGTATATGAACTTATGAAGGGGGAATAACAATGGAAAAATGTGATAAGGGAGGCTCTGGGACCATCCATCCAACGGGTGGAAGGCGTGGGATGCAAAGGGGGTCGGAACAACCCACTTGTGGTGAGGTTTATGCAGCCTTTTGTAAAGCAAAGGATGATGAAGAGACCGGTGGATCAAATAGATAAATAAGTCTGTGAATAAAATAAAAAGTGGCACGGAAAGAAGGGTATAGCCGGTGAAAGGTGCTTCAGAAAGGGCATGGTAAAGCTTTGAGTACCCGCGGACCTCTGCAAGAAAGAAAGGTGCAGTCAGCAGCGCCATGACTGGCATTGCTGAAGATGCCTGCCGGATCTCCATTTTGATCTGGCCCTTTTGAAACCGTGGATGCTCCTGAAGACCTCGATCAAAGACCAGAATGTAACTTAAGCTGGCGCAAATAAAATAAAGCATGAAGCCGAAAGCCCTGCGAAAAGCAAGAAAACTATCAGTATCTAAAGAAAAAGACATTCGGATTGGGTGATCTCATACCAGGTAATGAGGAACAAACTCAGGAATTGCCGTACAATATGAGTCCTTTCCCATACGTTTAAGCTGCCCAATCCCTTCAAATATATGAATGCATACACATAATCAAAGACAAACTTGTCCGCAATATCAAGAACAAAATCCATGGTAAGGGTAATTGATAGTCAGCTGTCAGGAGTAATTGGTTGAGTTGAATGAGCAGTTATGGGAACCAAGCGTAGTAAATATAACTGCACGGTTTTATGCTTCGGTGACTGAACTCCTGAACTGTATATCTCCGAGTGGTATTCTAGTCCATCGGAGCTCGTTCAGTCGTTCATGTCCTGGGCAGTCTCGCTAGTTAGTTATAACTCCGATATTTTACCGAGGGATATCGGAGTTAACTCTTTTTCGCCACATTTAACAAATCCGAGTCCGATTATCAGATTGATAATGGCAAGTGGATTCCCTGGATATACTTGGATTTTCTCATCATACGACAGGAATCAAAAGGTCCCTTTGGTGCCGTTGGAATTTATTCCAAAAAGCAAAGATACGTCTTATTCAATTTCTCCATGAACAATCCATGTTCACTTTTAAGGAAAAATATTTCCCCATTATTCCCACAATTCACCCGCCTGAGCAGGATGATAACAAGCATACATGAACTATCTGGAACAATGACAGCAAACCGAGAACATACTAGGAAACGGCAGCAGGAGGAAATGGCTGCCCATATATCGCCTAGGTTGTGCAATAGCTCCAAGCCGTACAACATTGTTATTGTTGGTGGTTCTTACGCTGGCTTGTCAGCTTCATTGGCCTTGATGGCCTTGAAGGGCGGCCAAACGATACCATTTGCGGCTTACGGAAACTACTCTCATCTGAGAGCGGCTCCTCGAGTGCAGGACCTACGCATCACCATAATTGATCAGAGGGATGGTTTCTGTATGGTACCATTTCATGTACTCGATTCCTCGAAACCAGTTTTGCTAACTGATGACGATTGATATTGGACAGTCCATACAGTAGGCACGCCGCTGGCCCACGTCTCACCAACGCATGTGACTTCCATGTGGAAACAATATAGTGGTTTCCCAAAGTTGAATCGGCCCGATGTCACCTTTATTCACGGGACAGCCACCGGTATCAACTGTGGCAGTCAAACCCTGCTCTATAATGATACTCATAATAAGCCACAGTCCCAGCAATATGACTACATTCTTGTGTCAACCGGCGTTCGACGCAAATGGCCGATTGTGCCGAGAGCGGACAGTTTTCTTCCGTATGTAAAGGATGCGTCCAGCTACTCACAGCAGATACTGGCTGCTGAGAAGTTGGGAGTGGTGGTTATCGGAGGTGGTAAGGAAAGACCACTCTATTATGTTCATTTTGAGATACTGGTTCTAATTGATCCCTTTGGTAGGTGCTGTGGGTGTTGAGTTTGCAGGGAAGGTCAAGGCCAATTATCCCAAGACTCCGGTTACTTTGGTTCACTCACGGAATCAGCTCCTCTTGAATGAACCACTGCCGGAGGAATTCAAAGCCTTATCATTAAAGCTTCTCCAAGAGGAAGGCGTTCAGGTCATCCTTGGCAAGCGTGCTGCAGTCGATGAGCTCCCGGATCAGACATTCTATGTCAAGTTCCAGGACGGTGGCCGCCTACACGCTGGCCTAGTGATCATGGCTGCTTCCCAGGCTAGTTCTTCAGCTACCTTCTTACCTCGTGAAATCCTCAACAATGACGGAAGCATTATGGTTGATCTTCAGTGCGTATTCCACTATTCCTTCCTGGCTTTGAGGCTGGTCAGTGACATATTTTTGGCTAATTTATTGCGATCTGTATAGATTAAGATTGAAGGGTGATCCATCTCAGTCTGGTCGCATGTTTGCTGCTGGTGACATCACAGACTGTCAAGGAATTAAACTGGGAAGCAGTGCTATGGTCATGGGGAGTGTAGCTGCTGCCAATATATACTCATCTCTACTACACAAAGAGTATAAAAACCAGCCATTGCTATTGGAAGATTGTCCCCAAATACAACCAAAAATGGCATTATCTATTGGCACGAATGCCATTTGCTATGCTGGAGGTGATGCGAAAGTCCAGTATGGGAACGAGTTAGTCGAGCCATTGTTTGGTTCTGACATGGGCTGGCAGAGTAAGTCGTTTCTGCTTTTTCTCATTTCACAGGTAGGACCCTTTGCTAACGGCAACATGTCAGGAGTGCTGAACTCCCTAGGTCTTGAGGACCACTTTCATCGACAAAGATAATTGGAACAGATGGCTTCTTCTTTCCGCCACATGATGTCAGCTTCAATTGGTTGGTCTGAATAGACCAGCATTAGCCCTATATTTCATTTGTCCCACCCATATGCATAATACAAAAGACAGCCTTAACGAGATGCCATTATAAAACCAAAAGCCAGTTCGCATAGTAAAGTCATATCGAGATCTACCTTGGCACAAAAGGTAACAAACAGACGGTATAGATTGTAACTAACCAGTTAACTAACCTATTAGTCATTAACGATTTAGAATTAACTACATAGTTAACTAACTAGTTATGTAGACGATTTTCCCCGATAATCATTTCGTTATCTCCGATTGCATCTCCGTCGGAGTTCAGTACGGCGGACTAAAAGCCTTCAACGGCCAAAACTCGTGATCAGTGTAAATATTTTAGTACCACACCGCGTATGGCACTTAACTACGCATATTGATTAACTCCGGGCTGTCGGATATATAGTTATATATATACGTGGGTAGACATTACGGCACATTCTAAGTGTGATGCCTCAACGCCTCAACGCTGCCTCAGTGGCTGATATCAATGAACACCACTATGCAAGCAAACAAAGAGAGCACTCAGCATGGTTACAGAGGTCATGGATAAAAACCCCTTTTTCTTGTAGATAGATTCCTTTTCTTCTTTTCTCTCCAGATTTGATATTCTCATTGATGGCTACAATAGTTTAGATAGGAATTCAGTTCATTAATATCTACTATTCTGAGCCCGTAGCATAATATAGGCTATTAGCATTTCTTATTTTATGTTGAATCAAGACTAAAGATCTGTGTTTCCATTTACAAGAGCCATGAGTTCTGCTCTTTGTACAGTTTCTATGTCCTGTCATTGCCTTGACTTTTCCAAGTATCACAGCTAACTGTCTTCCGATTGGATACACGATTAGATACCCATGGAGTAATCTATTCTTGTTTTGATCTCTATTTGACGGTCTCTTTCAATAGCGATGTATCGATAGACTATCTACTGGGTGTGACGGCTCAATGGCTCAACGCCAGACAAACAGCACCAACATATCAAACGATGCCATCATACAAGCAATATGGGCAAACAAGGGCTTAAGTCGCACCACACAAATGTCTATAAAGACCGTTTATCGCCTAGATAGATTTCCTTTTCTTCTTCTTCCCCAAATTCGATATTCTCGTCGTTAGGCTACCTAGTCTAGATATGAATATTATTCGTTTTATCTGCTAGTTTCCGATCCCGTGACACCACTGTTTTGGGCAGCTAGAAATGGGCATGAGGCAGTGGTGAATCTGCTCCTTGAGAAGGGTGCTGATACGAGTACTACGGATAAGGATGGCCGGACACCACTGTTCTGGGCAGCTAGGAATGGGAATGAGGCAGTGGTGAAGCTGCTGGAAAATCAACACGCGACAACTCTCCAGAACGATTTTCATCCGCCACACCGTCCCGCATCATCACAACCCACTCATCAGTTCCATTAATGGAAGTCATACAACGTTGCTTCAAGCACCATGGCTAATATGTGGTTTCCTGGTGTTGCCATGTAATATGAATTCACGCTTCAACGCCCTTAACCCAGCCCATGACCCTGTGGGTGGGTTGTGTTAGGGCACAATCCCCGCCCAACCGACCCGTCTAACATCTCTACTGTCTGTTCATGTTCCTCATCAATCATTCTGTAGATAATTATAAATGATATTCCTATCTAGACTAGGTGGTCCAAAGATGAAAATATTGAATCTGAGGGAGAAAAGAACGAGGATCCTCTGGTCAACGAAGAGCACTATCTGTAACCTGTCCATCTTCTCCAGGAGGACTGAAGCCCCTGAGGCCGTTTCTATGGCCTCGTCATCGTCAATTTGTCTTATCATCATCAAATGCGCTCTCCCGTCGTCAGCGGTCGTTATCCATTGGTCTCAGTTGCTATCTGTCAATATCAGTCATCTGCCGTTGACTGCCACTATTGGTGGTCGTTGGCAGACATTTGCCGTTAGTCAACAGTTATAGTTCCCAAATACTAAGGCTGGGACTGCAGAATCTACTTCTCAACATCCTTCGCTGTCCCCATCACCTTGTCAAGACTCTTGTCTGCTGCCTCCCACTCTCTCTGAACAGCCTCCAGCACCCAGTCCCCTCTCGGCTTAAGCCTGAATTTCCGCTCCCTCGGCATCGTCATGAATCCCACCACGACCATCTCCCACGGATCCAATACTTCACCGTCTATCAGCTCGAAATCAAATGCCCACAGCAAACTGGCAACCTGCATAAAGGTCCCATCAGTGGCGACTCTCTTGCCCTGGCAGATCCGTCGACCCTGTCCAAAGACTGGCAGTGGAAGGTCGGTACGCAGTTTGGCCTCCTCCCCAGCGTCGCCATCACCCTGCTGTAGCCACCGTTCAGGTATGAAGTCCTGTAGGTCTCCCAGCGCGGGATCAAACACTGCTTCATCTCGACCGATAGCCCATGCATTTGCCATGACTGTGACCCCCTTGCCGACCTTAACACCCTTAAACTCGTCATCCTGGTCTGCCCGCCGAGGAATGGACCCTGGCGAAATGGGCCGCCACCGGAACAGCTCGTGGGCCACGGCATCAATGAACGTGAGCCTCGAGCGATCTGAGAAGCGCGGGAGGCAATCGCGTCCGACCACCTCGTCGAGGACGGCGTGTGCTCGGGCTACAAAGGAGGGTTGGTACAGCGCTGCAATGAACAGCCACAGCAGCTGGCGCGGGGAGGTCTCCATACCGCCCTGGATGGAAGTAGCCAGGGTGAAGGCAAGATCAAGGTCCGCAACTGCAACCGGGGAGGCAGCCTGGGTGTACTTCTCTGTGGTGGCAATGGCCTGCTTCGTGGCATTCCAGCCTGCTGAGTCCCGCCCATGTTGGAACAAACGCATGTAGAGGTCGACCTGGGTGGCGAACAGCCGGTCTGCGGCGCGCTTCCAGGGCGACAGGAAGGAAGGCAGATGTCGCAGCGGCGGAACGAGATCGGGCAGGCCGGGGTTGGCGGCGAGATGGGTCACCTGTGTCTGGATATCGATGATCTCGTGCAGAATGGGCTCCCCCTCGAATCGTGGAATGCGCAGGCCGTAATGCAGCCCTAGGATGACGCTCGACTGGGTGCGCTCCAGGAGGCAGTAGGTGGTATCGGTGCTGATCATGCTGCTGTCGTCCTGGCTCTGTCGCACCGCGTTGGAGAGGTCGAACAGCAGCTGTTTGGACTCCAGTTCCATCAAGGACTGATACTGTGGAGCAGCGACCGCGCCCAGGCTGGGAGCGAGAATCCGGTGATGCAGCTTCAGGTGATCGTCGTAGTCGTGCATCAAGGTGAATCGCGACTGGCCCGGCTCGGCACCGGTGATCATCTCCATGCTGACCGAGGCCGGACGGTTGCTATACCACTGGCTGCGGCGGCTGAACAATTCCGTCACGGCCTCGTACGAGTTGAGCACGACAATAGGTACGATTCCAAACAGCTTGGGCACCGCGATGGGGCCATTTTGCGTAACCCATATATCCCAGTTTGCCAGCGGCTTGTCGATAGGCGAGGTATGGAGGTCGCCGATGAGGGGGAGCTTGAGCAGAACCTTCCCCTCCTTTTTGCTTTTATTCCTGATGCTCACACAGATCAGTGTCAACAGACCAACGGCGAGCGCCACCACGACTAGAGAGGTGGTAGCCATGCCAGATTTGCTATCGAGACTGGGACAGCAGGAGGCGCCAGGATAGTTTTGATCTTGGATGCTAGAGAAGCTGTCAGATTGACCAGCATCCACACATAATTCAGCAGTTATTCAGCACTGTGGGCCAAGTCCTGATTACCCTTCCCCGGAAGCTATCGGATTGGGCCGAAAGCGACGCAGGATTCGAATCCATACAGCGTCCACGGACTCTTGGAGATATATCGCTTGGCACCGTTTGCCCTACATATATCATATCCAAGTAGAGAACAGTACATACGACCATAGGGTGTGGAAAACAGGGCTTCCCGTCTGCTCAGCCGTACTTAAGCCACATGTTAAGTGCGGGCCAACCGTCATTTTTGCCCTTCGCTCACTATTGCTCTAAGGGTGATTTCCAGGTGAGCACTAGTTGAGTGCAGGTGATTGGGGTGATGCCTTTACAGTCGAGGGTGAGCGTTGGGGTGATGAGTGGGTGAGCATGGCCTTGCGAAACCAAACAGTACTAAATGATTATTTGGCATAAATGGGCTGTTGTTTTGCTTGAGCATCATCTTTTTCTTCTTCATTTTTCTTTCTTGTGTCTTTCTAGAAACAGTTCTGACACTATTCACCTTCTCAAATATGTCACATGATCATGGGCATATGGCCGCAGAAGATCAAAGGTTTAAATTAATCCAACAACGGCGCAAACTCGCCGAGTCTCAGGGATTTACCACAGCTTATCAACGTGAGACAGAAGAGCAAGACAATGTTGTGTGCCTAAAGCAAAGGGCTCCTGCCACTGAAGCCACATATTCTAGGGCAATTGAGAACTGGTGTCTGTAAGTAATGCAGATTGACTGTATCTGGCACAACTAATAAATATGTAGTTGGTGATTATCTCAAGATGAACCTGAGAGCAAAAATTTTGCAAAAGAAGAGCCTGATCCATCTGCTCAAACACTAAAACTCTTTGCAGAGGATTTTGTGGTTACTTGCAAAGGCATACCTTCTCAGTATTCAGTGTGTCACAACATGTCCTGTTTTGTAAAATGATCCCTTGTTAGGATACAAAGCCGCATAGCGGACTTATGCATGTACATAACGCGCACGTGCGGTTAATAAGCACCCGCACATCACATGACCGCGACATAAAGTCTTAACCTCGCTGATGGCCGAGGACAGGACATCAGCGATTAGTACCGTGAATACTACGCATATACTTCTCATAACACTCACTGCGCTATCTATAGACCTTCTCTCACATCCCTTGCCAGGACAGGTGGTTGAACCACCAGAACTGATCATTGTTGGAAATGAACAGGAGTGGGAGGTAGAGGAAGTCATTGCATCTCATATAAACTGCTGACAACTGCAGTATCAGATGAAGTGGATAGGATTTGATGAGGATCAAACATGGTATTCAGCAGGAAATTTCAAGGGTTCTCCACACTGCATACAAGACTACCATCAGACATACCCTGATAAACCTGGACCACCGCGACGTTTGCCTGAATGGTTGAGGGCCTGGGAGGAAGGAATAGATGAGGTTGATGATCACCCTGATGATAATGTGCCTGCATAGAGTCTGGGGACAGACTCCACTTAAGGAGGGGGGTTATGTGACGGCTCAACGACCAGGCAAACAGTGCCAACATGCCAAAAGATGCCATACAAGCAATATGGACAAACAAGGGCTCAAGCCGCATCGCACAAAGG